ATGTACACTTGAATAACCAAAAAATCATAAATTACTACATGAATATCATAAAATTCTACTATAATTCACCAAACTTAGTAACTAAGCTATATTTGGGTCTAAAAAAAAATATGAAATTTCGAGCAGACTAAAGAGACAACCTACCTCATTGAAATCTTGGTTTAAAAGAAAGAAATGGTGCTAGGTACATTAGAAAGGCTGAGAAAACCACTAGGGGGACACTCTGAGCTTCCGATTGGTTATTCATGTCATATATATAAGTGTATATAAGGGAGTGTTTCCAAAAATGGAAGGAGGTGAGCAGGGCCACTGTGTCTGATTCAGTACATGAGCAATATCTCAGCAAACAGAAAAGACAGGAGGTTCTTATTTTATATTCTAGCTTGTTATATAGGTAATTTGAGTTCCTAATTCGCATGAAACTATAGACTTTCTTGTATTTTGACTACACAAACATCTTTTTTGAACCAGTGCTGCATTCAACATACCTTGTCCATATTTTTTCATTCTATCAAGATACACTGCACACAAAAAAACACAACTTGTCAATACAGACAGCCTAAAATTAACTGCAAACAAAACAGTATCTGAAATCATTTTAAAATAAATCAATTTATTTGAAAAATGTCAGTAGTGCATCAACAGCAGAACAGTCCAGGATTGAAATATCAGAAGATAATAAAGTTGCTGAACCAACAGAAAAACTGTCTGTAAATGATGTATCAGAAAATCTTGAAGATGATGAGAATGTCAAAAGTACATCAACAGCAGAACAATCCATGATTGAAATGTCAGAAGATAATAAAGTTGCTGAACCAACAGAAAAACTGTCTGTAAATGATGTATCAGAAAATCTTGAAGATGATGAGAATGTCAAAAGTACATCAACAGCAGAACAATCCATGATTGAAATGTCAGAAGATAATAAAGTTGGTAGAAGTATTGAAGTTGCTGAACCAACAGAAAAACAGTCTGTAAATGATGTATCAGAAAGTATGGAACATGGCAGCACTGTTCAAAGTGCACCAATAATGCAAGAACGATTTGTAGCTGAAGTATCTGAAAACATTGTTGATAACAAAAGTGCTCAAATTACACCAATAAAAGAAATACAGTTGGTGTCCAAAGTAACAGAAAATCGTGAATGTGATGGAGCATTTCAGACTGTATCAACAACACAGAAACAGTCTGTAGTGGAAATATCAAAAGATCTTAAAAGTAGTAAAGGTGTTGAAATTGGTATAACAGAAGAACAGTCTTTAAACGATGGACCAGAAAACAGTGAAGACAATAGGAGTGTACAGATCGCAACAGCAGTGCATGAACATTCTTCTGCTGTCATATCTGAAAATCTTATATGTTACAAAAATGCCGAAATTGCACCAACAAAAGTAAAACAGTGTGTGAATGATAAAGCATTAAATCTTGAACATGACTGGAGTATTCAGAGAACATTAAAAACACAAGAGCAACCTGTGGCTGAAACATCAGAAGATTCTTTCAGTGACAAATTTGTTCAAATTGAATCAAGACCAAAAAATACTGAACATGAGGAAAATGTTCAAATTACAACAGAATCAGAACAGTCTGAGCTTGACAAAGATGTTCAGACTGCAAAAACAGTGGAAGTGCCAGAGATTCTTGAAAATGTTGAAAGTGTCACAATCATGCAACAAGTCCAAAAAGGAACATCACAAAATATTATCCAAAATACAAGATCTCCAAAAGGAACTCTTGCTTCTGCTAGTTCAGTTGCTGAGAGCCAAATTGTACGTTTAGTTGCTGATGATACGCATGGTGTTTTAGCTTCTGGAGAAGAATGTGTATTTGATTCTTCCATATTGGATAATGCTTCAAGAAAAAACTATTCCAATAACTCAGAAAGTTTAACACCAAAGATAAAAAAAGCTTTCCAGAAAATTATACATTCTCCCACAAAATCTTTGGCATGTAGTTCAGAGACAGAGAAGCATCAACGGGTACAAGTGAATTTAACTTTGATGAAATCAAAAATTACTAATAAACTGGTATTTGAATCTTTGTTGGAAGAAGTGTCATCAGAAAAGAAACAGTTACTAAAGCAAAAGGAAGAATATTCCTGTGGGAGTAAAGCAGGTGATAACCATGTTACTAAAGAACCTGATGATTCTAGAAATACCAGAGTCATCAACAAAGATGAGGTAATTCTAGGTGCACATACAGCCAGCACAATAAGCAAGTCAAACAAAGAATCACAGTCTAAAGTTTTAAATGTTCTAGAAGGAAGAAGATTACCATCTGATCGTGGTTTACAGAAAGATAAATCTGTAACAGATGATGTAAAAAAATGTGAAGGTTCAACTAATAAATATGAAAGAAAATTAGGTTTATGGGAAAAAAAACCTTTGGTAGGTACAACAAGATCTAGACCAACCATTATAAATATTGTAGTTCCTGAACAGAAAGCTACAAGCAAAAATGTTGAGAAAAGCAAGTCCGTAATTGAAACAAGAGCACGGCATAATTCCCAAGAAAAGAAAGTTCACAGTAGTTATTTACACACATATGATAGAAGAAACACTGAACGGAGGAATCTGACTCAAGATATTGAGAGAAGAAAAAGACAACAAAAAGAAATTTTAACAAGAAACAAAAAACCAAGAATTTTAGAAAACAAAATAGTTTATATTGAGATTGAACCTGCAAAGAGGAGGAGCAGTTCAACAACATTAGTTGCAGATCAAAATCATGCTGCCTCCTCTGAATCTAAACAATCTTCTGTCATAAGCAGTGAGGAAGGTAAATGTGAAAAACCTGCTGCCATGCCTGTCATAGAAACATTAGAAGTAAGCAAGGTTATCACTAGAAACTCCGAAACACATTTGAATCCTGATTATTCTTCAGTTGTAACCCGTAATAGAATAAAAGGCAGACAACCTAAATTCAAAGAAATCTGTAAATGTACCACTGATCAAACAAACAATCCTAAAGAAGTGTCTGTCACTGAAGAATTAAAAACAGATGATACATGTAGCAGAAGAAAAAGAAGTAAACGAAATCTTCCAGATAACCACCAGTCTAAAGGTTTTTCTGCTGTAAAAGATACAGATGAAAATACTAACAATGCTCCTGTGGGTGGTTTGACTCTCATTAAAAGACAGAGATTAAGTGTAGATGGAGTTAACAACAGGGTAATAAGTAAAGTTAAAACGAGATCAGCCAGCAGTAGTCCTAGCAATAAAAGAAAAGTGCTTGAAACTTTGGATAGTAAACCTAAGAGACATCCCACAGTATCAAGACCTGTACAGAGTAGTCAAGCTAAAGAATCTCGTGCTATCCATAAAATAGGTACAAGGAGTTCTAAACTTGAAGATAAAAAACAGACACTTGAACATTTGCCCAAATTAAGTGAAACACAGAAGATTATCACTTTGAGATCCAAATCAAGTCAAAAACAAGCTGAGCAAGTAAAAAAGAATCATAGTGAAGAACCTGAACTAGGAATGAGTAACCAGGTAGAACCTGTGCTCTTGAGGTCACAAAGGCTGAAACAGAAAAGAGCAAAGCAAGGAAAGACAGGAGAAATTGCCTTACAAGCTAAAAAAAATAAAGCTTTTCAAAATAAAAAGGAACAAGATGGTAAAGAAGAGATAGATAACCTGAATAAGAGAACAAAAACTGAACTAGGAAATGAAGAAGAAAAAGTTGCACCTGAAAATATATTTACTTCTGATACTTTAAAAGATGAAAGAAATGAGATTAGTAAAATTACAGCTAGTTCTGATTTAGTGACACCTTCAAAGGGCTTCCAACAAGATTCAGTTGTTGACAATAAATCAGAATCTAAGGCAAGAAGCAGAAAAAGACCAAATTTTCTTTCCCAAGAAAGTACTACAAAGAATAGCCCACATGTTAAAAGAATTATTTCTTCAGCACTTAAGAGATCAGATAGCTCATCAGAAATACAGACTCATCAAAGGTCATTGTCAGTTGGCCAGTGTACATATGAAATATATGATAAATTACCTGAAAGTCAAGGGCAACATAAAAGAGCAAAAACTGAACCATTTGGTGATATAAAGGAAATTTCAGGAGTAATAAGAAAAACTACTCAAAGGAAACCAAAAAATTGGGATGTACGAATCAGGTGTCAAAGATCTCCAGATAATATCACTTCAACAGCCTCATTTTGCTGCTTCCAATGTGGATTTGTTACATCTCGAATGGAAAACCTAATCTATCATCACAAGGAGCAGTGTTCAAAGACTACTGGAAATGATCCATGGGACCTTGGTCAGGAAGCTGTCCGAACAAAGCTTCAAGATCGGTTTGGTGCAAGCAGATTAGATAGTCAGAAGGGTCCTTCAGGAAACAAACTGGACACCTCCTCACATGTTGTTACCCTTGCCAAGAAATCAAAACTGCCAAATGCAAAGGATGCTAAAAGATTTGTAGATGAAGATAGAAGTTTACTAGCAAAACAGGGGCCAAAAGAAAACTATTCTACCAAATCATTTAACAAAGGAAAAGAAGAAATAACTATAAAAAACAAAGTAGAGAAAAAAGTTGGACAAAATAAGTCTGAAGATCAAACTAATATGTAAGTTGTTTTTGTTTTCTTGTCTTTTTCACTTTACAAGAATCTTAAAATCAAATTAGAAATGAATTTCTGAATTTTAAAAATTATCATGTTTATTTTTATATTAAAAAAAAACAGTTATTGACTGTAGATGTAGAATATTCTGAATTTTACTTAAATATTTTTTATAGTTTTTCTCTTAAAGGAGCTTTTAAGAAGACAATTATTGTATTACATATGAAATTGTATTGACTTAGTTGAAATGGATGTTTTTAGTGGAGACAAACATTCTCATCTTGTTCAAGTTCTGGTGCATCATTTACAGACTGTTTTTCTGTTGGTTCAGAAACTTCAATCTTCCACCAACTTTATTATCTTCTGATATTTCAATCCTGGACTGTTCTGCTGTTGATGCACTACTAACATTCTCATCTTGTTCAAGTTCTGGTGCATCATTTACAGACTGTTTTTCTGTTGGTTCAGAAACTTCAATATTTCTACCAACTTCATTAACTTCTGATATTTCAATCATTGACTGTTGTGTTGTTGATGCACTACTGACACTCTCATTATCTTTTAGATTTTCTGATATACCATTTACAGACTGTTTTTCTGTTGGTTCAGCAACTTCAATATTTCTACCAACTTTATTACCTCCTGATATTTCAATCCTGGACTGTTCTGCTGTTGATGCACTACTAACATTCTCATCTTGTTCAAGTTCTGGTGCATCATTTACAGACTGTTTTTCTGTTGGTTCAGAAACTTCAATATTTCTACCAACTTCATTAACTTCTGATATTTCAATCCTGGACTGTTCTGCTGTTGATGCACTACTAACATTCTCATCTTGTTCAAGTTCTGGTGCATCATTTACAGACTGTTTTTCTGTTGGTTCAGCAGCTTCAATATTTCTACCAACTTTATTATCTTCTGATATTTCAATCCTGGACTGTTCTGCTGTTGATGCACTACTAACATTCTCATCTTGTTCAAGTTCTGGTGCATCATTTACAGACTGTTTTTCTGTTGGTTCAGCAGCTTCAATATTTCTACCAACTTTATTATCTT